TTGATAGTACAAAGGTTCTCCTTAAATCTTGCCAACAAGCTGTAACGGACACACTAACACACACACAAACACACACATATATGCACAGTAGCGATGCTATATCCTCTCCGCAACTAGCTGCGCGAGGGGATAACAAAGAGTGTGCTAAAAACACAAGGGTAAAACAGTTTACCCCCCTCTCCTTTGGAGCAGGGGTATAATTTTGTAAAGTTAACAGACAGACAGATAAATGGAAAAACTTAGATCAGAAAGCTCAAATGAGCCTCTGGCTTCAATAAGTTAAAAATGGCTTCTCAACAAGTTTTTATTCTGAACTAAACATTATATATACATGTGTATATATATATATAAATTCTTTCAAGTTCATGCAAAACAAGTGGCACTTATGAAATCTTTGAACAATGGGGAAAAACCTATACGTACAAAAATGAGCTAAAATTTAATTAGGCTCTTGTGACCTGACAAAAATTAATATATGTGTATCTGATGTAGGGGATGTGTAAGTGAAACTTCTCACCTGCTGATAGTTTTGTATTTACATCCCACACTTTTCCATGTTTTTTCCCCGTTTTTACATGGTTAATATGATTACACTTTGTATTGCTGCAACAGACCTGAAATGTGAATGTAAAACCAATGAATCCCCAGTTACAGGTCACTGTAATAAATTCATTCGCCGTTAATGAATATCAAATGCTGGGGAAAAAAAGAATTTCAATATGCATTATTTCAAATATGATAAAAAAAAATATTGTAAAACCTTTCAAAACTTTTAATAAGGACATGGAATAATGCCTATTTTACATTGAGAAAAATCCATGAAAAAAAACCTTTCAAGCTTTCAAAGTTGTTTTCTAACTAACTGGACATAAATTTATGAGTTTATACCTTTAACAAAGAAGCTAAACCATGTGTCAGTACAGAAATTGTGTGTGAAAGTTGCAATGGTAAGCCACATTTACAACATCCCCGCAAGCCCTCAGCTAACACTCCAAGTTCTACCACTCTCCTTCCCTCCTTCCAATCCTCAGATGTAGTCACTTCTCCCCCATCCACCACCTCCTCTCTTTCCAGTATATTTAAATTTGGCAATTCTATTAATAAAGAATGAATAAATAAAAATTATCACCAGGATACACATAACGTTCTTTACTATCTACACATGCTGACAAGTTGACTACTTTTGATACACTTACAACAGTTCATAGTGCCGATATACAGCATATTTTTGACATTTAAGAGGTAAGTATATGCTACAGGTAACTCTTGATGGCTCGAACTTCGATCTCTCGAAGTTCTTGATCGCTCGAAGTGAGTCACCGGTCCCGAATTTTCCCCCTATATAACTAAGCAAATTTACTCTTGATTTCTCGAACTCCTGATCTCTCGAAACCCTTGATCCCTCGAAGTCAAAATGCAGTCCCGCTATGCATATTCTATTAGAATTTACCCTCGATACCTCGAAGTGGCTATGTGTACCCCAGGGTTACATAATTAACACCTTTACCTGGGCATTTAAATGGTCCCATGCAGAAGACGCGGGTCTCGAGGAATGGGATGTTTATTTAGGTGACACTTATGCTGCAAGGTTATAATTGATTTATAATTAATCATATTTTACCTATATGCTATTAAAATAATTATCATCGTCTGTCTTACGATAATTTACAGACCCAATGTCAGTGAAAAGTCGTAATTGATTAAAAGACGAAACACTAATTTAATTCTTATTTCGAGTCAGTGTCAAAGTTAAACGAAATATGAAAAAGCAGAAACAGCCTCATTGTCAGTATGACGACTATTATTTGACAAATACTTACAGAACTGCGTTCAATGATCATGTTTGGAGTAGTCAATGCTACATGTATGTACGACGCTGTAAAATGTCGTTTTCATGTAACGAATGCGTAGTATGATGTCCGTATTACAAAGAATAAATAAATATACATGAAATTATGATACACATTTTTTGCGTTACTCAGTTTAATGAAATATTCGTCTAAATTACGAAAAAAATATCGTTTTTTAAAAACCTCGTGTAAAAGGTTAGCACTGCATAAAAATCATTACATCCGGTAAGACTAATTTTAAAACCTGTCAACAAACCCGGAAAATTCCTGACTCTTGAAAACTCGAACTCTTGATCTCTCGAAGTTTTTCCTCAGTCCCGGGGACTTCGAGGTATCGAGAGTTACCTGTATTTAGCATGTGCATATATGCATAACAAAATTCATGCATTCATGGTGTTGGGATAGTTAACTTGACAGGGTTGTGCATCCAAGTTCTGCTGTTTTGTTCCATTTTACTAAGAAGTAACACAATATAAACAATTTATTTCTATTATTATGGTTTTGGGCCAGTCTTTTTAAAATTTACTGGCCCAATGTGACAGTGAAAGTACTAGACTGCTGAGTTAAAAAATTGACCAGTAAAAATTTAAGCGATAGCCTGATTGGCCAGTGAAAAAAAAAGTAATTATTTTTAGTCCTGGACCTGTTATAAGATAAATAAACCATCCTGATCAGTGGCGGATCCAGGAATTGCATAACAGCGGGGCGCAGTAGAAGGCAGGGGGTATGGGGGACTGCATTGACCCCCAGTGGGTCTAGGGCAAAGCCCTGGTGGGGGCCTGGAAGCTGATGAATTCTTACAAATAAGAGATGTTTTTTCCTTGATTTTAGGATAATGGACATAAAAGTTCTACATACAAAAAATTCAAAAGGGGGGGGGGGGGGGCTGGCCCTGTATCCACCTTTGCTGATAGAGATTTCCAAAGTTTCTCCAAATATGTTGTTGAAATCCATTTTATTTGTTTTCAATCTCTTATTTGCTATGACATCTCAACCACACATACGTGATGACACAGCCTATTCACACTGTGTTACGAAAATACAAACAATTAATGAATAAAGGTAAAGGGAAAATCAAAGAAAATGTAACAACAGAAAATTCAATGTTTTGTAGTTGTATATGGAATTTATTTCAATCATGAGACAGGATTTTTTTTTAAAAATAGATTTTCATTTGTGTTTTCAAAGACACTTGTGAAAATATAAAAAAAAATCCTATCCCACTAGTGAAATAAATTCCATATTCAGCTACAAAACATTAATCATCCGCTATGTATCATGATACACTGGAACTGCATCTCAGTATTGTGATAAATATTACGAGATTTCACCTTTCATACATTTTTGCATAATTTGTGTCAATCTGTTTTGTAATGTAACTTTCCATCACAATGTGAAGGGATCAAATGAGTATATTATTTCATCAAGCTTTAACATTTTATAATCTTTGAACCACAGCAATGAACAGCAAAAGTAAATTAAAAAAATATATATTTATATATATTTATTACATGTAGGTTAAACTATAAAAAAAATTAAGATATAGGCCTATGACTTAAAATGTTATAAGGACTAGAACGGCGCACTGTAATGGACATCATGTGCCTTCCTTTAATATTTCTAAGATAGATCTAACATAGATGCAGATGTGCAAACTGGTTTTTTTTTTAGATATGATACACGTATGTATACAAACCTTGATCATGATCAATGTTAACAGGAGTTGCACTGGCGGAGTAATTGTGGTCTCTAAGAATAGCTCCCCTAATCCATCGGGTCAATTGCCCTGCAGATACTTTTTCATATCTCTCCTTCTTCGTTTTCGAAACGAACCCATGGCGTCTGTACTTTGGTTTCACCATCTTAACCAAAGTTTACGCGCCGAACGTTACTTCTCGTCTGCTTTTTACTTACATTATCGTAATCCGTCTCACATGTCTTAATTTTCCGCGAAATATAAAATAGTTATTATATGTTTTCTTCTGGCACAAAGATCAATATTATGTTACTTTCTACGGATAATTATTATAATTACTTAAAATAAACTATTATTTTTCTGTCATACTGAATTCTTTATTAAAACGACATTCAGACCAATTTCCGGCAGTTCGAGTTGCGCGGTGTATTCAAATTCGTCAGAAGCGAAACACCTTAATCTGTAGTATTTGGTTATGACATTTAAGAAAGTCAATTGTACATCTTGTGTAATGAAGTATCGCAACTATGTCGCTCCTTGATGACGGAAACATTTAGCACCTCTCTTGCATATACGTTCCATAGATATTGATTGATTAGTCAGGCAAGTTTTTTGAAAAGCTATTACTTGTATAACACTATTTAAATGCAATGTGTATCTATATCAGTATAAACATGGGTTCCTCGCGTCATAAACGTTCGACGTAATTTCTCAGTGACGTCGTAAAGGGTCGACGCGCAATCAATAGATCAAGCTTGTGCCGTTGAGTTTGAAAAAATAAAACATTTCACGCGTTTAGGGTTATAATCAGGCTAACAAATAATATAAATAAGTCACAAATGTAAATATAAGTAATAAGGTATCATATTAAAACATCTATCGGATATAAATACGGGTTGGTACGAGATCAAATTTACCATAAAGCCCTTCGGGCTTTATGGAATTTGATCTCGTGACCAACCTGTATTTATATCCCGATAGATGTTTAAAAATGATATCTTATTTCTTATATATATATATATATATATATATATATATATATATATATATATATATATATATATATATATATATATATATATATATATATATATATATATAAAAAATTATATATATATAGTTGTGTGTGTGTGTGTATATTTGTGTGATTTTTTTTAATTTAACGAGCAGTGTTTTTATCCTTATCTAGAGTTGAATTGGAAAAAATGTAGTTTTCTTAAGTAGTGCCCTTTATTTTACTTAGTAACCGTCCTTGACGTGATGTTTTTTCTACACGACATCTTTCCTAATTTCGTTTTTAAATACTGAAAATTATCTTTTTTCAATTATTAACATTTTAATACCTTGTTCATTAATGTCACGCAGTAATATGATATTCAGTTTTATGTATTTGTATTAACTTACCAGTTATTTTCATGTACAAGGAGTATAAAATCTGTTGTTTTTGTTTGTAGTTTGCCTTCTTGTGTGTGGGTGCTTTGTTTTGACAAAGTCCTCTAATCATGGGTCACAATTACTCAACTGCACCGGTAAGACTAAATAAAAGTATCAAAATAATATTAAAACATTTTTTTCTAAAGTAGGTTAGTAATGCTTACGTTATATTTCTAATGAAAATTTTGTGTTTATACTTTATCTAACTGCAGGTTGTTCTCCAAAAGGGAATGGCAAGTACAAATGTAACGATTGTATCCCATTTAACCTTAAAGGTAAGAGGAAGAAAGTTGCGTCAAAGAACATATTCAATATTCAAAGCTTAGTATATAAACAAATAGAGATTTATAATGAGGAAAAGCATGGTACACAAATATAAGAAGTTTTTTTTTCTTCTTCACGCAAATACAATTTTAGTTTCAAAAGTATTCGAATTTACAGTTTGAAATGTTTTCAGATTCAAAGATCGGAATAGTCTGAATTCTGAAAAACAAAGCCTTAAAATAAAATCCGTTGATGCCGATAATATTACCGAATCATTGTGAAAATGTGGAAAAAAGAACAAAATTACTATATAATGACTTGTCATATCTACATGTACAAACATATACTTTCTATCAGTAATTGGTATTATAGTCAAATAGACAAGTACAACAATGATATTCAAAATTGGCTTACCCCGCAATGTGACCAAATTGTATTAAATATAGAGAATTAAAAAGTCATTTGCTTATCTCTTTCTCTCATAACTCTCATAACTGCAAGAAATTAACATTGTGATAATTTTTTTTTCACTTAGATTTACTAACTGCTTTAACTCTTAGATACCATTATCAATATGGCATTTTTCATCCCTAGAGTTGTACTTCATATACCTAATGGTAGAAACGTGAATTCATCTTATTTTCTGGTCCTAAAACAATTTAATATCATTTCACAATAAAGAATCTTATTTGAAAGTTTATAGCTGATAATTCATTTTTTCCCTCAGAGGTGTAAATTGTACCCATTACAACAAAACAACCCTTAAAGAAAACATTTTTTATTTTTTAAATTAAGGTACATTTTAAAAATGCATTTCAGCTTCATTAAAATACATGTATTATTTTTGGCCAAGAAAAAAAAAATTAAATGGAATAAATTATTTACATTTACAGATCCTAATATTTGTGCTGAATGTTCGAGTAATCGTCCTTTGTGTACAACTAAATGTAACAATGATGTTACTCAGGAACCGGTGACTGAACCCACTTCAACAAACACTTGTGTTCAAGGTGTGTGTGTGTGAGCCTGGATATTTCTGTATAGATCTACTTCCTTTTTTCTTTAAAAAAAAAGCATCCGATTTTTGGTCTTTGGCTAAAGATTTTTTTTAAATCCACAGAGTGTATATGCAAGAGCAAATTTCAAATTTAAAAATCATTTTTTTCTTATTGTTAGAGAAATTTAACGAAGAAGAAGAGCTGTAATATATGTATAGATTTATATGTTATGCAGTGTATAATGAGCAGACTTCGTTCTCTAGAACTTACATGTTTAGAATCCGTGTTCTTTGGTGTTCCCTTATTCGATGTAAATAATAGAAGTCCCTTACATCACTTGAATTTCTATGAATTGCGTCCGGTCTATCGGGTGTCTTCACCAGAGCACATGAATTGCGTCCGGTCTATCGGGTGTCTTCACCAGAGTACACCCGAGAGACCGGACGCAAATCATAGCGCTACGGATTTCTTTGTTCACAACTGTTTATAAACTTCAAATTAAACATGTAACACTGTAAATATTTAGTGTTTGGTAGTTCAGTAGTAGTGCTAGTTGTTTTTGTTTCTCTATTTCCTTTGTTTTTATGACGTGTTAACTTTTTTCTTTGTCCTGAGGAAGGGACAGGTCGTCCAGAAAATTTGACAATTATTACTGCTCGTGTCGTTGGTCATTTTTAGTGCTTTATATACATGTATATATATATATATATATATATATATATATATATATATATATATATATATATATATATATATATATATATATATATATATCCCTGATATACCTGGAACATTGATTTCTCAGAGCAGACTTCACATTCTGTATTGTAAACATACACAGGAACTGAGTATGAATTTCCAATTTTACAATGTTTGTTTAATATGACAGATTACCGGAAAAGGGATGCATCTTATTCAGGCGGGTTTTCTAGATATCATTTCTCTCATTTGAGCAGAATTATTTTGCAGCTTTTGAAAGTACAAATAAGAATAATCTCTTATTATTTCTAAGTTGCTTTTAAAGAAGAAAAATGGATAACATCAAGCTGACCGAAACAAACATTAGTAAAAATACTTATGATTGGATAATTTTACTCTTAAAGTAGACTCTACCCTACAGTCCGCAGTTTTGTTTTCTTTTATCTTGCATTTCATGTGTTTTATATTTTTAAGGATAGAATTAACAATGAAATAGTATTTCATAATGAATCATTTAACTTTAATCATTCACGTATTTCATGTACAATGCCTATTTTTTTTTTTTAAATAATTGCAAATAAGATAAAACTGGTTCCTTCTCTTTTGTTTTTTTTCCACACATTTTCACCCTTTTGAAAAAAAAATCCGCCCAATGGAAAACATTTTCTTCGACATATTTTTATTTAGCTTAAAGTTAAAGTAATTGCAGAGTTTGCGTTAATTAAAGGCCAAACATCAGTTATTGGTGATATTCTTTTCTTATTTTATTCATTGTTAATTTAAGGCAAATTGCATATAACGCGTTAATTAAGGGCAATACCAAAGATAACGAACGGAGATCATGCTCAAAATCATTCAAAAATACGAATTGTGAGCAGAGTCAACACAATCTTCTAAAATAGAGGTGGGATCAGGTGCCAAGGAGGAGTAGACATCCCCTCTCGACTGATCACAACCACTATTTGCTCCTTGTCATGATTTGTTCGGGTAAACGAAAAAAGACAATTCAGTGTAAAAATAATGGCCTTAGACTTTGAAATGAAAAACATGTCAACTTTTGACTTCACGATAGAATGTATCTGCCAACACGTTTAAGGTCAGTATGTTATTTTTTGTGTATTTATATAAATCTCAAAAACTAATTATATACACTGTATATATATGTAGTTTAATTCGTCGACAAATTAAAGCCTTTAAATGCTTCATTCTTAGTGCATGTCTCCTGTTAAATTTTACTGACTCGGTGTATCTTTTAGATCATGAATCAGCGTTGAAAGGCATGGAGAAACAGACAATTAAAGGTTCACCTGTATCCTTTATTATTTATTTCGAATTTCAATTTCTTTGTAATTTTACTATCTGTATTTTCAAACCTATCTTATACTGTTAGATGAAAGTCCTTTAATTATTTCAAATGAAACACGATAATAAATATTGCAGACTGCTCGTCTGGAAGTATAGCTGGAGCGACTATTGGAGGAACTTTATTTGGATCCCTTGTTACAATCTTTGTCTTTATGTTTCACTACAAGAAAAAACAAATAAGGTTCAAATACTAAGTGACGAAATCAAACCTTCTTAATGAAACAAATATATTTCGGATTCTGATTGTGAAACAAGCTAATCTCATATTCTGATTGAGAATCTCGTATAATAGTTAACAAAAGAGTTTTAAAATTAAAATTGAAAAAAAAAATTGAAAAAAAGGTTGAAGTTAAAGTTTTAAATATAAAATTTATCTAGTTCTTAAAATGTTAAACAATGATGATGATTACAATATCTGATGTTTTCATCGGATACATCTCTTTACAGTTTACAGAAAGAGATCATTCTTGTATTAATTTGATTTTTCTTTCAGAAGTCCTGTCTCAAAAGCTTTACAAACCCCGGCATACCAGGCAGAGATCATGTGTGTAAACGAAAAATCTGGAGAGGAAGACAACACGAAGGGCATGTACAGCGAAATAAACGACGTAAGATTAACCACAAACACACACACACAGACACACTTAGAGAGACACACAAACAGAGTCAAACTTTCCTCAAATCAGTCAAATATTGAGCATGTAGATCCTTGACTGTTAATATATATTTGACCCGAGCGGATTTAATTAGGAGTTATGATGAACCAATCTAAATCATGTCCATATAATAAAAAATACATGTAATTTATGAGGATCATTAAAAATATGTACTAAGAAAATGATATAAATTGTTATAGAGTTATTTTTGTTGCTCAAATATTATTTCTTGCTGTATATTCTACAATTTTGGTTCACATCTAAACTCGGATACTCCGATGAAAAATATATTTAAAAATAAAGTATATACAGTGTATGTTAGGTTTTAGAATTGACATTTTCTTATAAATTATAATTAAGATGGTGCAAATGTCAAAAATTGATATTTGGTCACGTTTTGTAGAGTTACTGATAAACATTAACTAAAAATAGCAATATCTAGGCCCAAAGCCAAAAAAGTAACTTTAACAATAAAGCTGCACGGAGACTAAAATCAGATACTGCAGATGATGCATTCTTTCAAAAGGCAATTTAGTAAATGTGGAATTTAGATGTTGAAATTACTATGCTGAAATTAGACATACCTTATTTCCATTTAAAATGAATGAAAGACGTAAGTATACTAAAATCAGAAGTTGCATTAAACCACATAGCATAAACCCTTAAATTATTACGTAGAGTCTTTAAGAAAATCTACATTAATACTTAAACAGAAAATAAGTATTTCTTGTATACCAGTATATAAAAACAAATTTATATACTTGTTTTATCTTCTTAATATTTCAGCAAAAGTCTGTAAAAGTATCTCAAGTAGCTCCCATCAGGAGGAATTGGGATGCTCCTGGAACCAATGATGGTGTTTACAACCACTTGAATGAAACAAACAGAGTGGACAGAATTGAGTACTACGATCACACCAGACCAGGAGCCTCAGTATCAACACCATCTGATGGGTACGGCACCGTGACTGTGGAGTATGATGGAAATAATAAACATCCAAAAGATAATAGATCCATGGCTGATAACGAAAAATTATGTGAATCATCCCGAGCAGATGAATACTTTGTGCTCGAAAAAATACAATGAAGAAACTTCACAAACTACCAATCAAACTTTGAACTCCAGTTTTGTCTTCAACTTTTTGGAATCATGATAAACATATTCATTTAATATGTATAAGTTGTCAATGTATAAGTAGGGGATATCTATGTACAAAATGTTTTTGTTTCTTTTCATCATATTATTTTTACAAAAATTTAACATAAATACATTTTCATATGTAAAGACATTTATTTCATCGATGTGTGAAGTTTCATGCCATTTGTTTAAATGGAACTCAAGACATGTTACATAATTTAGGGAGTAACTGTCTTCTCGTTTGTTATTTGCGACATTTAATGCTGATTTACGGTCTTTCAAATTTGTTTATAATATGAAGTTGATCTTTCTAAGATAGATATAATTAAGTTACTTTCTCAGGTGGCAAAGGGCAGTTTTTCTGAGGTCAAACTGTTTGCCTGGCGTTCTCTTTAATCATTCTGAGCTGAGTGTAAACGAAAAATAATGTCTAGAAAGTCTGCCATCGTAAGCAATAACGTATGTCACACCTAAGCTGTAATATTGGATTCGAAAGAAGAGCGTAGTGGTAAAAATGCCTAGACACCTGCTGGGATCGAACGAACGGCTCTGATTTCTTTAAGAAAGCGAAAGAAGAGAAAGAGGCAGACGCATATATATATATATATATATATATATATATATATATATATATATATATATATATATATATATATATATATATATATATATATGTTAGAAAGTAGTTCGGAGAAGAAAATAGATTTTGAGACAGCTAGAATTGCTGAATACCGTATTGATGGAAATTTTAGCGAGATGCAAATTTAGCGATTTGTCCTTAAAAATCAGTATTTATTTTAGCGAGAAATAATTTTAGCGATTTTATGATGCATAGAATAATAACGGTAAACTCTAACGCGGAATAAATTGTTAGCGATATTTTTTTGTTAATTTTACCAATCCCAACAACCTCGCTAAAAATGCCAAATTGAATCCTCATTAAAATATCTGCTTATACATGTACATGTACAGTATATAATATTTTTTTTAAATTTTCTGATAAACCTCTTATTTAAGTTGTTATATACATGTATTTTGAATGAATCAACATACATAATTTATTGAGAAAAATACAGCGAGAAAGAGGCGTGATTGGAAAAACGGGGAGTGAATCCTAGCATTTTGTATCCAGAAAGAACGGGTAAGATTGAAATATGCATCTGTTTGGGTTAAAGTAAGTGTTACTATCATGAATTCCAAACATTTATTTCTTCAATATATTTCGTGAAGTGAAGAAAAACAGAGCAATCAAGTATAGTTTATACTTTACACTTAATGGGCTCAAGATCAGTCTTGAAAAACTTGCTTTGAAAAGATGCATCCCAACAAAGAAACAAAGAGTAGACATTAAAATTGTCAACATGCTAATTTTTCGCCATTGACTCTCAGAAACAAAAACCCTTACACAAATGATTGACGTTCATGAAAATGTTCAAGTCTTCTATTATTTCTATAAATAATTATTTAAAAGAAAAAATTAATGTACAAAATAGAGCATAAACATTTCTCGCATAGTAAACCATATATGAAATGTAATGATTTTTTTGAAAATTAATTCTTATAAACGTGCACTTTGTGATGCCAGAATATCAAAACATAAAAAAAAACCTCACTGCACTGTGAATTCGGGACATTTTTAAAATTTTTCATATAACTCAATCTTCGATACATGGTTTTCATCCTAGTGAATGTCATCTTATAAAAAGGATGTGCCGAATAAAAAAATATTATCTTGACGGATAAATTCTTATAGTATAAGCTCTATACTTAATACACTTCAAGGAAATTTTTCCGTTTAAAAATCATATTTTCTGAAACATTTTCCTAAGCATTTGTGGTCAAGGTGTATTTATTTAAAACAATAATTAAAAAACCAATACCTACCACCCCTGAAATCTGCCGTGTCTTAGATTAAAAAAAACCCGTGACAATAACATTTGCAAAAGATTCTACCAAGCTTGAAAAAGTAATCACTCACAATAAATACACTGATTGCAGTTAACTACAAGTGTATAAACCACTCACATTATACATCTAGGGATAGATGCCAATCTACGCCAATGATTTTTCCCCATTATAAACGTGCTTTAATCTGATGGATGGGGGTTGGGAAGGAAGGCAATTTGAAAAAAGAGCCTATTACATGTAACGTGATTAACATGTTTAATCACATAGAATGAATAGCTTAATAAGATTGTCACAATTTCATTTTAATTCATTTTGTCCCTGTCAAATTCCATACCCTCTATTTCCACATATCAATATTAACTTCAGGTCAGTTTGCCAGCTGAAAATGGTCTAGGCCTGTCTGTCTCTTAAAATTTCGTATCAGACCTGAAGCTAATAGCATGATCTTGGTTAATCCATACACTCTTATGCATTATTTCTTTATACATTCTTCATTATCTCATCGTGTCTCTCTTAACCTTCATTATTTCTATCCTTCCTTTTTTTTTTTTTATAACTTTTATTCTACCTTGTCCATTGTTGACAGGTGCTACGATGAGCAAAATCGTTTGCTTTTCGTAAGTGGTGTTGCGTAATTATAGTACTGCCTAAATTTTTTTCACCTCTAACTTATGAAAATAACACCTGAGAAAAAAAATCAGTTTTATTCAACGGATAATTTCACAATTTCACTGTTGAAAATGTAATGAATAAATTCATAATTAAAAATAATGATTCATAATATTAAGCAATTTTCCACTGTGCATTACTTCCCAGATGCATATAAACAAGCATAATAGTATACAAACAGTTGAAAACTATTGTAAATCATGATTAGATAAATTCAATAAAAAACAAGATGTGTTTGTGAAACACTGTCGCCCCCGTATGGCAGCTCACGTGAAGGTTAAAGTTTCTCAAATGCAAGTCAAACTTCAAGGTCAAGAGATCAAAATTGTTGGTACCCAAAGAAAGGTCTCGTCACAAGGAATTTACCTATGAAATATGGAGACCCTAGCGCCAACCTTTTAATAGTTATGGCCAAGGTTAAAGTTTTTCAAGGTCAAACTCCAAAGTCAAGGTCAAAATTGTTCAAACCCAAGGGAAGCTCTTGTCTCAAGGAATACACATGTGAAATATGAAAGCCCTAGAGTCTTTTCTGGTTTCAGATTAGGTTGGCGTCCACTTGAAATAAATTGAACATGTTCATACATCCGTAATGTTGTTTGTCCTCTCCGAGAATGGTGTTCAGGTGGTTTACGATGGAGTTGATGTTCTGGTTCTGAGGATTATGAGTGTGTACAAATAAAAGTATATTCTTGTTATCTTCACGTCCTCTGGTTAAAACCAATTCTGATCTTGTTCATTGGCTTTAATTATTCCATTGTCCATTAGTTGGACTGAATATTTCTGTTTTAAAAGATAGGTTGTAAGTTCATATATACGAATGTTTCCTGTATCTTTTTCACTAACAATAGCGCATATACGTCTAGCGAGGTTATAAGGAATAGTTTATTTTTAGTTTGATGTGGATGACAAGAACCAAAATGTAGGTATTGCTGTGTGTCTGTCACTTTGTAATTTAATTAGCAGTAACAATCCTTGTGTCCTTTTTAAAAACAAGAACCTCTAGAAATGGGAATGGTAATTCGTTTTCATTGGTATCTATCGTAAATTTGAATTTTTTGACATTATCATCCCATAAAATAAAACAAATGTATAGGAATCTTTTCCATTAGATTAAAGGCTATTGGCTACATCTTCTTCTCATAACTTTATGAGTTGTTGCTGCAGTTTGTATTCTAGGTAGCCTAAGGTAAGGTTGTTGGTGCAACCTTTGTGCCTATTGAAGTTCCTTTTGCTTGCAGAAAATGATTGTTACCAAAGGCAAACCTATTTCGTGATGTGCTATCCTCAATCCTTAAAGGGCAAACTCCTCTGTAAAGCGATCATGAAGTAGGTATAGATATTTTTCTGTCCAGAATTCTACCGCCTTTATTCCAAGTTCCTTTGGAACGTTACAGACTAACAACATCAAACGTAACCAATTTAGTACTATCATTTTCCTATGGCTGGCAAATGATCCAGAAAATCAAGATCATCCCTGATAAAACTTGGTAACTTTTCACAAAATGGAATCAGCAATATATCTAATAAATGGCACAGTCTTTGGGTAGACGAGTTAGGGACCTCGAGAAATAGGTCGAAAAGATAGATTCTCTGGATTGAGACAGGTACTATTTTGAGTTTTTATTGCGTTCTTAATACCTTTCAACTTATTTACTTTAGCTTAGCCGTAAAACTGACTTTCTTGGGCTTCAAAATTAATAAGATAGTCTTCTTTGCCACGTAAATGGTAGATATGAAAATGTAGTGATTCAGTACAGTCATGTACCACAATGTATTTGTCGTAAGTTTTTCGTCACTAGATAATTTTTAAAAGCAATTGCACACATAATTTAAATACTTTGGAAAAAAACTAGATGTCCAAAAACAACGTGATTAAAATCTATTTCATTTAGAAAACAATTTTTGTCGGAGCGAATCTTTTTTTCACACTAACATTTTATCTCAAGTCATTACTTTTTGAATTACTTCTGGAACAAAACAAAACTCATCCAGAAAACAACCCAAACTTTATATTCAAAGGTTCCAGAAAAAAGTTCATTTCACCATCTCATTGTCCAGTGACTTTTACCTTTGAATTTGATTCAAAATAACAATCTGTGGGCCATGGGCAGCATTATACCCAAGTTTATTGCATGGTATTTGTGTGTTTTACTTCCCTTTTAGAATATTTTTTTCCACACTGGGATGCCACACATATAGACCTATAATCTATACTTATGGCTATCGAACAGTGAAGGATCTTTTCCGTGCCAGCATCTATTGCGTCACAGGATTCGATTTACATGATATCCACATCCCGCAGTGATATCAACCCGCAATAAAAGATGAACTCCTAACCATGCGACTCAAGATGACGTGAGGTCTTTGCTCTAACAACTGCAACGCGAAGGCGACAAAGATACTCAAGTATAAATCACGTAGTTCCATACTGTTTGGAAAGTACTGTCCCTACACAATATCGTGGCAAACATTTAGCCATATATACAGACAAAATGTTAGACAACTTTGCA